CAGCATTTGGGTTTGTGTTTCACCTGATGGGTGAGCCTCCAGCAGCTGGATGCTCCAAGCACCTTATTTAATGATTTGGTCCATCTCAGCTACAGAAGTGAACAATTTGGCTCAGTTACTATCCCCCAAATCCTCTGAAACCTGGATTTAGGTGGTTATTTCTACAACATTCACCGTTTGTTTAAACTGTAAGAGTGAAGCAATTGTGGCTCGGAAGTCTGCTTTAAGTTGTTTTCAAGTTGTTTTCAGTTGTCTGGAGAATTTCAGTTTCCCTCCCACCAGATTTTAGAGTCCAGATTCTTTGGGCAGGTTTCCAAATCCTGGCTGGAATATTCAACCGTTAATTCCCAGTTTGCCCATCTAGGTCTGGGGAAGACGTCTGTACCTTTAAAATGTGGGTCTAAGCTGCTGGTTTATCGTTAACCGTCAACAGCGTCTCACACTATTTAATCTTAAAGCTTCACTTTCTGAACCTCTCCAGGTTGACCCTGCTCCGTACATGAGGGCCCCTCAGGAATTTTGCGCTGCAGGGTAATTCCCCCACACATCCCCGCTCCGTTAGGAGATGGCAGCTGACTGCAATCGTCCTCTGACACCTTGAGCTGAGCACACGCAAGGTGTTCAGACACCTGGGGAAGATGAATCCGCTCGTACTCTGCCATTAAACAAATCATCCGTGCTCTCAGGGACCAAAGGGCACCTTTTACAGCTGAAGAGGAAGCCTTGCCTGTTTTCACTCGCTGTCTGGATTAATTACAAAGCAGAATATTTGGTGTCATGTGTACTAAATGAATACATATAAATCTTTACTGACCAACAAAAGTTAAATTATGAAAAAAGTTTTGTTATTACAGTATACACTCTTGACACTGAAAATGCAAGAAAATCCAGAAAATTCCCCTTTAGATTAAGCCATTTAGAGTGTTCCCAGAGTCCAGCGGACACCAGGTTCTAGGCAAGCTCGCCAGCAGCCAAGGGCTCCATGATCTGCAGTGTCTCATATTCAGTTGCCTACAGCGGTTGGAGTTCCCGATCCTCACAACCTCCAGCATAAAGAGGGTTTCCAGTGGCCCACCCCATCCCCAGCAAGTCTCACGCCTTTTTCCCAGGCCACTGACTGCCCCCACACCAAGCAGCCCCCGACGCCCCTTGGAGCTCAGACATCCCCGTCTGCACCAGGGGTTACAAATCCATCCTCCGGTTTTACACATCGCAACAGCTGTCACCTCCGCGTCACTCCCCAACACTCAGATTCTGGACTCCTGTGATGATGCACCTCGGTCTATTTTTAAGTGTGTCCCAAGCTCACAAATATCTTAAGCCAACTTTTCAACATACTGTAAAACAAAATGCCTTTATTAAAAAGCATATGTTCTCCCTTGTGTTGAGGATTATGCACACATTGCAGAAGCTAATAACTTCAAAACAGCTTCTCAAAAGCATAATTGTTTTCTATTTATACACTTCCATACCACCCCTGCTAAAAGCTGCAACAGCAAATACTTAAACCACCAAAGCTTTAACATAGCCTTACCCATCAAGCCTTATCTTAGTTTTTCAGTGGGCAGAGCACTCTCGGGGTGTTTGCACGGAAAGTGAGCTCTGCAGCTTGAGCTGCCCCTTTGCAGTTAAGGAGAAGTTTCAGGTGAAGAAACTGAAACAAGTTGGTCACATGCAGAAGGGCTGCGAGTCAGGGTCAGAACAAGAAAGCAAAGCTCGAGTTCCCATCTCCAGACCACAACGTTGTGTTGCGTAACGCCCCACCGCCTGGGTTGTCTGGTCAAGAGATACACAGCTGCCTGGCTTAAAAATAGCAGGGAGAAGACTCTGAGGTCAGGCAGCCCCTGACGTGGTGGCCGGGCCGCTGCAGCAAGAAGGGTTCCAGCCCCGTCCCTGTGCAGCCTCCCCAGCAGGTTAACTGGGCCACTCAGCTGACTTCAGTTTGTCCCAAAGCGTTGGGATGGTCTTTAGCCCTTCCCAGAGTTGAGATCACATGCAGCTGTTGCAGGGCTGGTCCAGCTCTGGGGCACCAACAGCAGAAGGACACGGACCTGCTCCAGCAGGGCCAGAGGAGGCCATGGGGATGCAGGGGGGGCTGGAGCCCCCCGTGAGGACAGGCTGGGAGAGTTGGGGGGTTCAGCTGGAGAAGAGAAGGCTCCGGGGAGACCTTAGAGCGGCCCCCCAGGGCTGAAAGGGGCTGCAGGAAAGGGGGGAGGGACAGGGTGAGGGGTGATGGTTTTAAACTGACAGAGGGCAGGTTTAGATGAGATCTGAGGCAGAAATTCTCCCCTGTGAGGGGGGTGAGGCCCTGGCACAGGCTGCCCAGAGAAGCTGTGGTGCCCCCTCCCTGGAAGGGCTCAAGGCCAGGTTGGACGGGGCTTTGGGCACCCTGGGCTGGGGGAAGGTGGCCCTGCCCGGGGCAGGGGGGGCACTGGGTGGGCTGTAAGGTCCCTTCCCACCCAAACACGTGTGCGGTTCTGTCACACGGAAAGAGAACAAAGCGTAACCCCGCGGCGGCTCAAGGACACAAGGACCGCACCTTACAGAAAAGCCGCTTGGGCGGCGTCAGGCCGAGACCCTCCCGACTAACCCAGCGTGCCCCGGCCGTGGCTGTGCACGAAACGGGGGGGCCACAAGCAAAATGCCCCGGGGGTCAGTTGGGGTTGGGACCCCCCCTGCCCACCCCGCCCGGGAGCTGCAGTACGGCTCCGGGTCACTAGATGGCAACTGGTCCCCACCGGTGCTCGCCCCAGTTGCACCAGTGCCGAGGTGCCCGGGCCCGCTGGGCTGTGCCCTGGCCGCGGCCGCAGGGCAGATGTGAGCATCCCCGGGGTCTGCGCCAAAGGGGACACAACCACCCCGTCGCTTACAGCGGACCCGGCAGAGGGGGAACGCGCGGGGGCCCGGGGGAGATCCCCGAGGGGTTTCGGGCACCGGGAATACGGAACCCAGCGATGTCCGAACCTGCTCACGCCTGGCGTCGGCTGCCGGCTGCAAAGAGAAGGCAATAGCATGGGCTTGGGGTTTTATTTTTTTTTTTTAAAACCGACGGATTGACATATAGCATAAAAAACCTGTATTTGGTTTGGTTTAATGACGGATTCAGACTTTAGGAGTTGACTCAGCGGAGTGATACCCCGTCCCTCGCTGGAAAACCCCGCGGTGGCCGTCCCTGCGAGCTCCCCGTCGCTGGTGGAAGAGCAGCACAAGCTGCTCTGCAGTATTGGGCACCACGACCCCCAACACCCAGGCTCCGTGCCTGCACCCACCCGGGACCCATCCCAGCCCCCCTGGCCCCCCCAGCCCGCAGCCGGAGCATCCCCCGGGACAGAGCTGGGGCTGGCACAGGCTCTGCAGGCATCGGCCAACCGCGCCGGGCTGCTGCAGCACTGAGGGTCAGCAAAACACTCCTTGTGGTGGAGGGTTTTTTCCTTGCAAAGGCAAGTATTTTATTCTCATGGGTACAAATTAAAGGGTTCATTCTCCTCGTCTCAAAATGTTAAAAAACTAACGCTGGCTAATAGCTTTGTGCTCTGTTCAGCCTGAGCCGTGGGGAAAACGGACCAGACACGCCGCTTCCAAACAATAACAGCTTTTTTCTTAGAGTCCTGGGAGGATGAGATCTGGGAAATTAGGGGGATTTGAAAGGAGCCTGAGGAGCTGGAGAGAGAAAATCCAATTTCGTAGTTAGCTCATGGAGGACATCCAAAGGCAGCCAAGACGCTGGAGCCTGACAGCCCAAGGTAAGCTCAGCTGGGTCCGACAAGCTGAACCGCTGCCTGTTTATTTTCTTTACCACGTGTGGGCTGGCTGCTGACAGGGACCTGGTTTATTGAGCTTTATGGGGCACTAATTCCCGTTCGAACAGAGCAGTTCACTTGATGAAAATTGCTCTGTGTTGGTAAAAGAGAAGCCAGGGCCCCCCCCGGGTCGACCCAGTCCTTGCGTTGGGAGCACCAGCAGGAATGTCCCTGTCGACGCCTTTTTGCACCCTGACAGGCTCCTGCTGCAGCCTGGGGCGTTGGCGAGCTCGCCCAGACTCACGCTCAGCCCCGCTCCACGCCGTCGCGGGTTTTTACAGGGTGTTCCCACAGCGCTCAGCTAAAGCTGTCGCTTCACGGGCATACGCAACGTAGTACACATATGGACACAAAATATGTTATTTATTGTGAATTTTGCAAAGACACATTTAAGCAACAAAATATACATTTGTGAACCTTTAGTTTTATACATAACAAATACAATCTGCTACCATAGCAATAAATTAAATGTACATTATTTACACCAGACATAGGCCACCAGGAACTACAAAGCACCGCCTCTCTACGTAAAAAATAAACTTTTCAGATACATTTCTTCAAGATTTATTTTCACTCTATAAACTCTCTTCACATTCTAATGATACAAATTCAGCATTTCCCTTTGCAGGATATACGCAGTGCTACATTCATGAAACCATAATGAAAGCATGCTCTAGGATGGGGGAATGACAGACTCTGCCAGCTCTAGTGGAACAGAAGTTGGAACATCAGCGAAGCAACGTGAGTGCGAGGTGCGATCTGCGGAGGTGCTGAGCTCCGACCAGCTGCTGGTTTTAAAGCGGTTATCAGAGCACCTCTGGCAGTCAAACTGACGGCTGAGAAACCTCAGCCCCGCTTAAGGAGCCCATTCATGGCAGCGACACGCCCTGGCGCCTTCCCCAGAACTCTGGAAGGAAACTGGGTTTGTGCTTAGGACCCCTCCTCGTCGCTCAGAAATAAAAGCACTTCCACGTTGTGCTTAAGTGTAATCCTGTGCTTGACTCGATGGATTTTGAGAGGACCCGTCTGTGCCAAGTGCCTTCCCGAGGAGGAGCCCAGGGCACTGCTGCCAGCCCCCTGCTGCAGGCAGACCCAGGGCTGCGGCATCAGAGGCCGGGGGGAGCGGGGTCCCCTCCCCGCGCTGCTGCGAGGACGCGGGACCTGCAGCACTGGCGCGGGGAGCTGGGCCTGGCTCAGCAGGCGCGGCAGGAGCAAGCACGGGGCCGAAACCCCGGCGAGAAGGGGAGCAGCCCCCCGCCACGGGAGAGACCCCCCCATGCAGCCGGGGGCTCCCCTGTCCCTCCCCAGCCACGTTCCTGAGCCCCGTCTGCTCCCGGGGCAAAGTCACATCCGAGTCGGGTAGAAGTTATGGGCATGGAAACAGTGGGGACCAGAAAGGAAAACGCACTGCCCAATAATTTTAGTGTCAGTTAAGGATCCTTTCTTTTATCTATATATATCTCCATATATACATATATATCTCTCACTGTTATACCTGTATATATACGCGTGTGTCACTTACAAGCACAAAACATTTTGCAATATATATACAGGGACACCTTTACCCTCTGCTGGACGTGCAAGTGCCTCCGAGGTGTAACACAACTGCTGGTCAGTCCCAGCACCGCTACGGGCCAATTCAGGGGCCACAAGGTGCCCGCCACGCACGGGGGAGAAACCAGCTAGAGCCTGGCTAGGACGGGAGCTTTAAAAGCCCCGTTGCTATTAAGGATGCTGCCGTAGGGGGTTGCAGCCCCCCCCCCCGAGGAGTGCTGTTGAAAATGTCCCAGAGCCGCTGGCAATGCTTGTGCCAGCCCTCGGCTCCGGGCCCCGCTGCCGTTCAGCAGGCTGGCGCAGGGAAAGACAAGTCCAACGCGCTGCACCTCTCTCCCTGAAGCTTCACGCCGTCCTGCCTGCCGGATAATCCCATTTGAATAATTCTACAAATCAATCTAGGTCAAAAGGGAAAGTCAAGAGGTTCAAGTAAAAAAAAAAAAACCCAAAACAAACCAAAAATGAAAAACCCAGCTGACAGTAGCCACTGCACCTTCTGCTGAAAGATCTCACGGAGATCAACACCCATGCCAATGACAACGTCTACGGAATCACGCAACTTCTCAGGATAAAAAGCAAAACCAAGAACAGACCCTCAAAGCAAGTCATTGCACCAGTCAATATTTCACTGTGAGGCATAAGAAAACCAGACCAAAAGCTTCTAAGAGGAAGAACTGGGGGTGGGTTTGAAAGTGCTACCGAAGCATTGTCAGACTGAAGTGCTGAACAGCAAAGTATGTGGAACCTGAGACATCTAGAGCTAGCTACGGGCTGGGCTAAGCACGCCGTGCTTCCCCTCTTTCAAAGAAAACCTCAAGATTTAAACTCTATTTAAATGCAACTCACTGAAAGCAGGAGGGGACGTGTCCCCACTGGTGGTTATTGGTATTTACTGGTCCGACACAGCGCACTTAGTGCCTGTGAAACTGTTGTCCGCCTTTTCCACACCGTGTTTTCCTCCTTTAACCTGGTTCCTCTCCCATCAGGGCTACAGCCTTTTCTTCTTAAACAGGCGAATCCCACGCACGAGCGGGAGCAGCTCTGTGAACCCAGCGTTGAGGTTGTTGGCCAGGACCCTGCAGAGCTTTGCCAGCGGACCCGGCTCAGCCAGGCTTGGCTTTGCTGGTCCAGGGGGAGGGGACGGGCTCCTGCGTGTGCGACCCTGCCCGCGCCTCCTCTAACGGGTGTCGGGCGCTTCCGTGCCCCTCGGAGCTCCCGCGGTGTCGAGTTGACTTTGGCACTCAAAGTTCTGTTTTCGTTAGGAATTACGAACTCGCTTGAGATTCAGAACCTTTCACTTGAGATGGAGAACCTTATTTCACGGGGGTGTTTGCAAAGGTCACAGGTTGTGGTAAGGGGGGGGGAGCGTCTCTGCAGCATTGCAGCGCACCTCTCAAAAAACTGGTACGGAAAAATCTACGAGCAACGTGAAATTCATGGACAGACCTCAGTAAACTTTAGACAAAGTTCCATAAAAGAGCAAAAGGGTTTCTCGGCATGTTGGGAGAGGTATTTTTTTTGGAAAAGGGCATCACAGGGAAGTCACCTTGCAAAATCCATAATCCCCGTCTTTCAAAATGAACGAAAGCACATCCGAAAGCAGCGGGACAGATTCTGCAAGGGGCGGAGCAGCCTAAACCATCCAAACACGGGAATTTGTTGTCCTGGAGATCCAAGCCGTGGGGTAAAGTAGAACCCACTGGGTGAATTCACTCTGAACCGGTTCTGGTGTTTAGATACACTACAGCTTTAGCTTTGGTTAACCTTTTCCAGGCCTGTGCTCAGAGTTTCAGGCAGGGAAAAAGCAGGGAGGTCGTATAAACCATCCCCAAAGCTGCCCAGAGAGGGTGAGTCGGCCCCGCTCACCAGCTCTGCCCCTCTTGTGCCAGAAACTAAGTGTGGTGTAAGAGGCTGCATCTGCCCTAAAAATTTAGTGATGTGGGCAGTAAGCCGGGAAGAGCCGCCTGGGCAGCGCCGTGGGGGGAAATTCTACCCTGTTGTCTCTAAAAAGAGAGAAGAGCAGCAGCAAATAATGGGGCGGGGGAACTGCCCCGGGATCAAGCAAAGACAATTTTGCCCTGACCACCTCCCCTTCCAAAAAACAAACACAAACCCCTGCTTCCCCACTGACAGCTGCAAATAAAGCGTGGAGGGACCTGACCTGCGCGGGGGCCCGTCCTGCTTCCCCTCTGCCCGAGAGGAGCCGCGGGAGAGCCGGGGGGGGGGGAAGCCGCGGCACACGCGGGGTGACACGGCACGGCACTGCGGAGGGGACGCGGTCCCCGGGCGCAGACGATCTCCTCCACGGTGCAGAGGGAGGGGTGTGGGGCGCGGGGCGTTTGCTGGCGAGGGGTTCACCCGGTGGGAGGGCGGCTGGTCCCCGCCGGGGCAGAGATGGCGGCAAGGTGGAAGCTTCTTCCCGGCACAGCGGGGCAGCCGGGAGGGGAGGGCACCTTGCTGCCCGCGGCTGGGGCGTGCATCTTCCCACAGGATGCTGATGAGTTTTCCCTTTGTTGAAATAAAAATTCTCTGCAAAGAAGAAAAGGATATAAGTGTTGGAGACTGTGGAAGGAGAATATGCCCACTCATGGAGCACCAGCCCCAGGGAGGGAGCCAAGGCCGCGGCAGTGCCTGCTGCCCCCGGGCTGGGGTGGGGGGAAGCTCAGCGATGGGCTAAAAATCACGGCTTTTGGAAATTCAAGTTTTATGGGCTCTTCTGCTCAGCTAGGAACTTCCTAATGAAAACCCTGATTTCATGACGCAGAAGGACTCCAGGAACTGGAGCCTGCGAGAAAACCAGTAAATAAATTCCTTGTGTCTTGCAAATGCCTCCTGCGTGGAAGCACCCGCTCGTGCTGGCGGCCCCACGCACAGGCAAGTCCCTGGCCCCGAGAGCCCGGGCCAACCGTGCTGCACCCCGTCACCCCTCCCGGAGAATCCAGCCCCGAAACTGGCCGTTTCCATCGGGTTTTGGGGAGGGGTGAGGAGACCACCTCCACTTTCCCCCACAGCAAACCTCACCCTGCCCGCAGAGACGGGCACGAGCGGTTCACGAAGGTTAACGGGGACAAAACGGAACCTGCTGGGCCGTGGCCCATCAGCCCCAAGGGCGGGGGCAGAGGCGCGGTGGGAGCACCCGAACGCACCCCCGGGGGGACCAGGCAAAGCTGGCACCGGCGGGCACAGACCCGGCTGGCACTGACCTCCACAGCTTTTCTCACTCAGTGCCGCCCGCAGCTTACGAGAGCGCTTAGGGTGCTTCAAGATGTATTATTGATCCCGTATTTAATAATGAACGGTGCGATTAACCGAGGTTAGACGAACACACCGGGCTGCAGACAAGTCACCGTGCACGACACCGTATCACACTCACTCACCTTTTACAAGTTCATGACTCCTCCTTCCTGCTAGTGGCTCTGAACGGAAAAGAGAAGACAGGTGGGGTCGCAAACCAAGGGGCACGAAGTCATGAAGTCCCTTCCCCTCCCTTGCTGCCTGCCCCTGCGGGCTCTGCCTCCTGCTGCACAGACCCCAGCCCCCCCGGGCCCCCCGGGCCCCCACGCCGGCGCTGGGCAGAGCAGGATGTGGCCGCGCAGCATCACCTGGCGAGAGCCGCTGGCACCTACCGTGCTGGAGCTGCCGTGGCTGAGCTTGTCGAAGCGAAACTTTAGGTTTGACCTTGGAGAGTTTCTGTTCTTTATATCTG